AAAAAAAAAAAAAAGTGAGGTTCAGAGCAGCAGCAGCCATCACCAAATTCACCATGGGGGTAGGCTGGGCACCTGGTACCGACGGCCCAGCGCGGCCCCGAGAGCCACTATGGTGCCGGAGCACTCGAGCCCCGGGTAAGGCGAGGCGCCGGCCGGCGGCGGGTACCGGCCCTGCCACTGGACCGTGTCGCCGCGATTGACGCCGGCGGCGGCCACCCCGACAACGACAAGCACCTCGCCCTCCCCCGGCGTCGGGAGGTCCTCGACCTCACGCACCTGCAGCGCCTCCGGCCCGCCGGGGCTCGCGGTCACCACCACCAGCATCGTCGCTCAGCTCACTTGCTTTCGGCTTCTGGTTCTCGGTAGCTCCGCGTGTACAGGCCACTGCTCCCCTATACAGGCTCTGCTGTCGGCTCTACTCAGATATACGGCCGGGCTTCTCCAACTAGATTCAGCCCATGAAAGTTTTTTTTTAGACAATCCGGCCCAAGAAAGTTGGACGGCAAAATATGGTTACGACAAAACGTCGGTTTGTGGACACACACTTCCTCCGTTCTCTAAGGTGCACATATCTCCCCTCAAAAAAAAAAGGTGCACATATCTATACCTAAAAATATATCTATATCTATCTATCTATCTATCTATCTCTCTCTCTATATATATATATAATTTTATATATATATATATATATCCTAATAAAAGAAAGGAAACGTTTGGGGCCAGGGCGCCGGCCGAACCACTCGGCCGGTCGCGCGTGACCCCATGCGATCCCCTTCCATCGTATGGCCAGCCTTTCCGCGTGGATGGGACACGAGGCTGACGGGGCCCACCAATCGCTCGCCATTTAAACGCCTCACGCGGCTGCGCTGCTTCCCCTCTCTCTTTCATCTCGCCGGTCCCTACCTTAGTTGGCCGTCCTCGTCGCCGTTCTCCGTCCCCGCTGGCCGTCCTCATCGCCGGTGGCCACCGCACCGGCCGTCCTCGTCGCCGTTCGCCGTCCTCGCTCGTCGGCATCGGCGGAAGCTGGAACCGCGTCATTTCCTGCTGCAACTGGTGCCCAGGAGAGCTGCCATCATGGATGGCGAGCATGGTGACGGCGAGCTGCGAGGACGGCGGCGCTGTTCCGAGCAACACTGCAGACGTCGTGTTTTGTGCTACGTGCTACAACCAGTGTCACATTTTGCTACAACCGGCATCCCACTCAACTACAATCGGCATCGCGTTTTGCTACCACGGTTTGAGTCGACGAGCTCATAAGCCATGGCCGCACGCGCGATGGGGCTGAGCACTGGTGCTACCATGACAGGGGGCATCACGTGCGAGCTCACATGCAAGTCAACCATGGCTTAAAAGCTCGAGGCGGACGGCGAGCTGGGAGCACCATGGGAGAGTCCCCCTGATGTTGCAACGGGCGGTCTGGAAAGCTACAACCGATGCAAAAGAAAAGCTTCAACCAGCGACGGCTGGAGGTGGAAGAAGATGACAAAATGCTGCAGTTTTGCTACATGCTTCAACCGGCATAGATTTTGTGTAACATCCCAAATTTTCAATTTGGAATATTATACATTAGATCATCATTGCATATCATATTTTATTTTTGCATTTGGGTTGATCCTAGAAATTCTACACAACTCAATGACCCATGGAGAGAGTTGGGGATTTCGTTATTTTCATATTTGAGTTTTCTCAAGTTTTGAGAATAGGATCATTTGATTTTATTTATTTTATCATCAATTATTTTTATTACAAAAATATGAGAAAGGGAATAAAATGACTTTCCCAAAATAAAGAAATATTGAGGATCAAATAATAAAATCAAATAAAATTTTATTTCGGAGTTTTTCGGTGTTTTATTTGAATTTAGGAAAAATGTGCGTTTTTCAAAATTGCATTTAGGTCTCAAATAAATGTTCACCTTGTGCAGCTTGATTTTAGAAACCCGTGAAAATTTATTTCGGAATTTTTGGAGTCCATTTAGTATTTTTTTTTATTTTTCTTCTGCGCGTAATAAAAAAACGAACCGACCTACGGGCCGTGTCCGACTAGGACTCTGGCCCGCCAGGGCTTTATAAGCCGGGGCAGCCCACCCGGGGCAAACCCTAGCCGCCAGCCCCGCCTCGAGCCCCGTGCCCCGCCGCCACCCGCGCCGCCACCCGCGCCGCCGCCCGCCGCCGCACGCCGCCCGAGGTTCGCCGCCGCCTCGATTTCCGTGCCGCCGTTTTTTTCGAAAAACCGTCTGTTTTTTGTCGTTTTATTTTATTCGGCTTTTTTTTTAATAGATCGGTTTTCCGGTTTATTTAAATAGTGAGCGTTCGTTCGTTCTAGCGAACATTCGTCGTTTTTTTTCTCGGATTAAATCCGCGATTTTTCTGATCGCGATTCCTGATCCGATTTTCGTTTTAGTATAATTTTTCGCTCGTTTATCGGAATCAGGCGATTCAAGCGCCTGGAGTTTCGTCTCGAAACCCTCTATCCGTTTAACCAACTTAAACAAGATTTTGCTACTGTAAAATTTGCCCTAGATCCAGATTAGTAGAACGAAGTTGTTTTCTTTCGCCGTTTGACTTTCGTTGCTTCGTTCGATTTGATTCTTTTTGCCAACCGGAGTTCTTAAGTTGAATCTTCTGGTTAGATCTCTTATTTGAGTTTTACCCGTGCATTAGATGAGTACTTATTATATGCTTGTTTGTTTGTCTGCGATAGAATACCCGGAGTGTGCCGCTTGTTACTTCGAATCTCTAGGTTTCGCGGATCAACAGCAAGGCAAGTAACACTTTGATCATACCTTTCCTACTACCCAGTTTTATTGCATTGGATCAATCCTCACACATTGCATGATTAGAATCTATTTAAATTGTGGGATGGGAAGTAGTTGAGGTAGTACCTATTACCTGTTTATTATCAAACCTTTGGGAGTTACTTCTACGTTTGCTTATTATGCCATGCTATGCTAGTAGACGTGGATTGGGTGAGTGATATCCATGACAGATGTGAGTTTGTTAATTAATGGTTTATCTAAGGTGGCAACTTAAACACACATCTGGGTAGATTGAGGCACCTGGGTATTCCAGGACTTGCCTGTTTTCTTTTGGACCGCTACCCAGGCTCAAAGGGATCATGAGACTATTCATACTAGAAACTTCCGTGTGCAGCCACAAGCTATTATGGGCTCTAGCATAGTTGACTAAGTCGTGCGAACTCTTACAGTGGTAGACTAGCAGATGTAGGGGATGTAGGTGGTACGGTCTACCCGATCGTAAGGTGCTAGCGCTTCTGAAAGACTATGTCTCGGTCATCCTCTTCTCAAACACCATGTAGTGCGAGAAACCAAACGGAGGCGATCGAGTTTTGTGGGGAAAAGTGCGCAAACCTCTGCAGAGTGTAATAAACTAATCATGATTAGCCGTGTCCCCGGTTATGGACATCTTGAGTATCTAGTACCTGCATTATCATGTGAATCTCAACATGTTACTCTAAATTAATTTTGTTGGGTTTTGTTTAATGATGATGCTTAATTGGGATTGAGAATGCTGTCAACCATTCTCAATGTTTAACAACTACCATGATAGTTAAATAAATCTATTCCTTTGAAGTAGGGAAAAATTGGCTTTACGCAAAACTGTAACCATAGAGCTTTCCACCAGCCAAATATGCATATAGTATAGCTGTTTCATTTCATTACTCTCTATGTGTTACCTTCCCAGCATATTCCATGTGCTGACCCGTTTTCGGGCTGCAACGTTAATGTTGCAGACTTTTCAGACGACGATTAAGGAGTTTTTAGGTCGTGGTTCTATACTCAGTGATGCCGTTGGAGTTGATGGACTCACTTATCTTCCAAGCCTTCCGCTGTTATCGTTATTAGATGGCCTTAAGCCATATTTATTGTAATAAGTTCTCTTTTGAGACACTCGATCTAATAAGTGTGTGATTGCTACTCTGTTATAAATCCTCCGAGCACTGTGTGGTGTTAGCATTACTGATCCAGGGATAACACCGGAGCACGGAGATTAGACTATTTGAGGTCTGGCCGCTACATTTTGCTACAACCGGCATAGCATTTTGCTACGACCGGCGTCACGCGTTGCTACAACACATAACTTTTCTCTGGTTGTAGTGTCAGGTTGGAGGTTTCTTTCTTAACGATTGAAACTTTTTCATACACGGTTGAAGCTTTTTCTGTCCATGGTTGAAGCTTTTGTGTAAACGATTTAAACTTTTTTTGTTTGAGCAGCCCTTGGTTAAAGCTCTCTCTATCATCTGGTTGAAACTTTTTCCATCTAAGGTTGAAGCATTTTGCGTCAGCGGTTGTATCTCCTCGTGAATCGCAGTGCCAGTTGAAGATTTTCCATCTAGGGCTTGAAGCTTTTCCAGGGGTTGAAGCTTTTTTAACAACGTTTGCAACACAGAGGGTGTGCGACGGTTCAAGCCTTGCCTCGGTTCAGACGTGAGCTCGTCGTCGAGGGCGCGCGTCCGGTGATCTTCGTCGCCGCAGCTCCGACCGTCGTAGCGGAGTTGTGACCATCGCCGGGGGAGCTGCAATCGGCGCACACGTTGCTGCATGCGCCGAGCCAGCATGAAACACAG